GCTGTCAAGTTCATCATCTCTTTCACATCAGCTCATATTTAAATCATCTATGAGTGATAGAGACACGTGTGTCCTTCTGGAACACAGCTCATATTTAGATCAGATATCAGTGGTAGACAAGTGTGGCCTTCTGGAATGCTGCCCTGTGGACCGCTCACCTGCGTGTTTGTGAGGAGTGTGGGTCAACCCAAGAAGAAGCAAGGAGGACGGTTTTTCAGCCATTGTGGGGGCGGGGGGATGCAGTGTCTGGAGGTCTGGCAGATGGCATGGGAAATGGATGGAAGCTGAACCCTGAAGCTCACGTTCCTCTCTTACTGGGCTTGGAGGGTCTGAGATGCTCTGGTGTCTTGGCAGTTCTCCCTCTCCGAGCTAGAAAGAGGTGGAAAGAGGGATGGATGAAGACAAGCCCATCCTCCGAATACACCCTCACTCTGGACTCCAGAAAGAAGTGCACATTCATTGGAAAATCAGCAACGTGAGAGTGGGTATGGGCTCTTTCTCTGAGCGGGCGTTCCTTTTTAGTTGATCAGAACCACGAAGAGGTGGGGTGAAGGTAAAGAAGAGTGGCAAACATCTGCCAACACGTGTGGAAGTGATCCCTGTGTATGTGCGAGCAGGCAGGAACTGCGGCTCCTGGGGCTTGGGCTTGCAGCTGCAGTTGGACACCAGGCAGGGAGGAAGCTATCGGGAGCGCAGATGTGGAGCCCGACCGCCTGGCTTCACTCCCGCCGCCCTTGTAAATGTACACAGGCTATAATTTACTATTTTTCACCAACACAGATCAGAGGAAGAGGCGAATGAAAGAGTAAGTACAAAAAAGAAAGAAGCAAGAGGGAAAGGTAGAGCAGGAGGGGTTGAGAGAAGATGCCCTAACCTCCAGGTGCAGCGCTGCCAGGTGAGGGGACTCCCAGTCACAACAGCTAGAATGTGGTTCCTTCCCAGATACAATTACAAAGCATCGTCGCTAAACATATGCTCCCATTAGTGCTTGGATTTGGCTGTTCACTACCACTCTCAGGCCTGTTTCTGTATTTTTGTTAATCTTTTCCACTAATAATAAACATCTTGTTAAGTTCAACCCCTATTGGGAAATCTGGATAACTGGATGCGCCCTAAGTTCAGGAGCCTATCACAGACTAGTGCATGCCAGAGCTCACCTCCCTGTGTATCATGGTATCAGTCAAGGCAATAAAATGTAAAGGTTAAATAGTAAGGTGATTGTCAAACATAAAAGAAAAAAAAAAGTCTACCAAAAATGAAATCCTAACACGCAAGACCTTTCCAACTTAAAACTTAAACCATTGTTTGTAAATAAGATACAAATATCTCATAAGTCTGGTAAGATGAAATTTCAAGCTATCAGTATAATCAAAGGTAGTAAATTGACTCTAAACTAAACTGCATGCCTAGAGCCAACATGGATTTTTCATAAAAAACAAAACAAAACAAAACAAAACACCTCCCAAAATTATCCACAGTTGAAAAGCACCAAGAAAATGCAGAGGCGGACTATGCTTTCTAAAAACGCAGTTCCTTCGGCAGAGGTAGTGCTGCTGCTTGAGCTGGGGTGGACAGGGACCCCACAGGTAGCCTTCCTTTACATCTGGAAAAAACAGAGCTCAAAGCTCTTTTTCCCTCTCCATTTCCCCAAACCTCGCCGCCGGCTGGCTTATTCTAATGTTCTTTTCTGAGGCTTTTTTTTTTTTTTTTCTAAATGTAGTCCGGCTGGTTTTGAGAGAAGGCTGGTAGCTAATTACAGATTCAAACATTTCTATAGCCTGGCTCCTACTGGAAAAAGGCATTTTCATTCCTAAAACGGCCAGAAGGCATGCATTCCCATCACACAGAACCCCCGCCCCAACGTTTACACGCGAGCAGGTGCACTGGTGCAGTCACTCAGCACACAGGAACGCGTGCACTCACGCGCATAGCGCACATCCAGACATGTGAACACGCGCGATTGCATGCCGAGGAGCAGTCTTCTGGCGAACGCACGCCCTGCCTCCCAGGTTTTCTTTGATGTTTTCGCTGGTCAGGCTGGAGGGCCTGCTTCTGCCCAGACTGGCAGGCATTGCTCTTTTGAGAAGAGGCCTTACCAGCTCCAGGGCTTCTCCAGCAACTTGAAGGCCCTGACAACTTCGGTCAACTCAAGGATTTCTTCCCACAGATGCCCAGGACAGGCACTACGCCCTCTACTAGCCAAGGTCCGAGTGCGCTGCGGTGTGCGACCCCCTGCTCCAACAAGTTGGTGGCAGCTGCTCCGACTCGGTCCAGGGGCCCTAGCCCTATTCATTCGAATTAGCTGCGGTGCGGTTTGGTTCCCAAAGTCCGGTCTGGCCCATAATCTAGGGAGCGAGCGCCCTCGTCCAGCCCCGGTGCCCAGCGCACAATCGGTTCCGTGCAGGGGCCGCACTCTGTCTTGACGCAGTAGATGTCGGTGGGGCCGGCTTTCCAATCCTTGGAAGCTGTTACTGACACAAGTCTCCCACGTTCCTGCATTTGGGGATCTGTATCTTTAGTTGCCATGAGTAAAGGCGAAAGATTTGGTGGCAGAAAAGAGGACTGCCGTGGCTGTGTGTGATCCCGAGAGCTCACTGCAGGCCTGTAAAGTCTTAAATCTGTTTGAGTTGCTGAGCCTATAGAGGGGGCAAGACCTAGTCTACAAAGCAGGCTTCACCTCCGTCCAGGCGATCTCTCACAACTACCGCTCCCCCTTCTCCAGTCTCTGGTCCTGAATGGGCCCGAAGGCTGGACTACTCTGTCGCGTTTCCAACGCTACAAGGGCAATTCTGAAAGGTAGAGGGTCGCTTCTCCTCCGGGTCCCCGAATTCCTGGGCCTGAGGTGGGGTGCGCTGGATCTTTGCTCGCTGCTGTTGCCGAGGCTTCGCTTGCCCACGTGTGCAGAGTAGCAGCCTGCAAGGTCTGCCTCGCACTTCATTGCACCTCCATTTCTGGCGCAAGCCTCCCAGGCGGACTCTCCTCCGCTTCTGGGCCGTCCGGTTTCAGAAACAAAACTGACGCTTAATTTTACCCCACGAATAGCGGCCTGAGACGCCGCGGAGTTTCTGCTCTCCCAGGACAGTTAAAAATGGATCACCAAGCCTTTCTTTGACAAATGCAAAACAACTTTTGCCAGCTGACTTTATTTCCTGAAGCCTATTATTATTATTTTTTAAACCCCGGGGTTCTGAGGATAGTTTGAAGACAGTTTCATTGCGGAGGGTGTGAGCCCCACTGGGCGTCATTGCAAGTGTCTCTGGGCGCTTCTTCTAGGTTCCTGCTGCTCCCTCCCGACTCGCTCGGACTGGGAAATGCACATCCCCTCCCCATCCCCCAGCTGCAGGTGAAAGGCTTGGTGACCGGTGGAGAACTACCAGAAACTAATTCCACATAGAGAGTACAGAGAAGAAAATAGAGCAGGCAAAGTGATGGAGAATTGAGGGAGAGAAAAAGCAGTTACCTGCTTGTAGTTTATACCAAAGAGCAAGAGAATACGCAGGGTGAGATGCATTCTATAAGTATTACATCAAATACATTTTTTGGGGGTTAATCCTAACAAAAAGTCGAGTTGAAACTACAAAACAAATTGTGCATGTATGGGTTGGTGTCATTCAATTGAAAGTTGTTGCTTTCTTTTTAATTTATCCTAAAGGAACACGTCGACTCTTTAAAAGCAACACGTCGAATCTTTAAAAAGCAGAGACGGGGGGAAAAAAAAAAGCAGAGACGACAGTGATAAGCTATCAATTCTGGAGAAATATGAAGGTACATCAAATCGGAAAAAAAATTTCAAAAACTACAGTCGGGAATTTTTATTTCACGTTCAAATTTACTTTACTTTGCGAAATTTTAAGAGCTTTCCATTTAGATCCGTATCACCAAAGACGTAGCGACTAAGATCCCACGACTTACTTTTAAAAACAACTACTCAGGGGAATGCAGTCTTTGAAAGAAAAAAGGGGCCTCCGGAAAAGGCACGCCGGGGGTGGGAGTATAGGTTTTTCCAAAAGACTGAACGACTATGTAATATTTTTGCATCCCTAAATCTAGGGGATTGAAAAATTTTGAGCCCGTCCGCCCTAGCAACACCAAGCCTAGTGTTTCGCCATCAGCATAACAGGCGCTACCAGAACCCCGAAATGCTTAGATGATAACCGCTGGACCTGGTGGCTCTGAATTCTCCCACCTCCCAAAACGTTTGGGGCTGTAGGAACTTTGAATGTGAGTGTGCTGCCAGAGTTTAAGATTCTTTGAAAGATCCTTGATACTCTAACTTGGTGATCCTCTCTATTAAAAAGCCAGAAGCCTCAGCTTTCCCGCTCGCTCGTCCTTGGGAAGAAAGCTGGAGGCTTCGGAGCTGTGGTGGGCGGCAGGGGACCCACAGAGTTCAGCTCACCAGGGGCTGGCACAGCCAAGCCAGACGGCGGCGCTTTCCACTCCCGGTTTTTTGCGACCTTGTAAGGAAGTGGGCGCGGACGGCGCGGAACAGCGTCCTCCTGATTGGCCGGCCGTCTCGCAGATGGACAGGACCCCGGGCTCCGCCTCCGCCGCTTTATTGACACTAATGAGCAAGTTCTTCCCACCGCTCTCCTGCCTGGAAGTGCTGACAGATCAAGGCAACAAATTTCAATTACAATCCCTAATTTGTGTCCGCAGAGTGTTTTTTACCCGTGCTAGTGCTCTCTGGCGCATCAGTCGAGGCAGATCTTGGAGCAGCGGGAGGAGGTGGAGGGGGTGGGAGTGAAGGAGTGCCTCAGTGAGTGCGCGCGAGAGACCCGGGGAAGGAAACTTGGCGGTCGCGTCGCTGGCTCCTCGGATCCCAACACCAGCGCGAAGGAGGAATCGCCAAACTTGTCTTTCTGCCCGCTCCGGGGAAGGGGGGAAGACCTCGAGGGGCCCCCGAGAGCCGCTCAGGTTTTGGTTGGGGAGGTGTGCGAGCGCGCGCGTGTGCCAGTGTAAGTGTATATGAGAGAGGGGCGGGCGGGCGCCGGGCGGCGGGGATGGCCGAGAAGCGGAGAGGCTCTCCGTGCAGCATGCTGAGCCTCAAGGCGCACGCCTTCTCGGTGGAGGCGCTCATCGGCGCCGAAAAGCAGCAGCAGCAACAGCAGCAGCAGCAGCAGCAGCTTCAGAAGAAGCGGCGAAAGTTGGGCGCGGAGGAGGCGGAGGCAGCCGGGCCGGGCGACAGCGGAGGCTGTAGTCGCGGCGGCGCGGGTGAAAAGGGCTCCTCGGAGGGAGACGAAGGCGCGGCGCCCGCGGCCGGCCGGAGCTGCGCAGAGCCGGAACGGAGCTGTGGCTCGCGCGGCGCCGCGGGTGAGTCGGGCCCTTCCCTGCGCCCACACGTCCGTTCCCTGGGTCCCCAGGGCCGCCGCGAGCCCGAGAGGGTGGGAGTCGGGGTGCGTGTGTGTGTGCGTGCGTGCGCGCCGCGTGCTACGTGGCCGAGGACAGCTCAGCCGCCGGCGTGCTGGCCACGGCTCTGGGCCGTCCGGGTCGCGGCGCAGCCCGGTTGCCCGTCAGACGGGTTCTGGTCCACTGCGCAACCTGCGTCCCTCTCGGCCGCGGCGGCTCGAGGTGACCCGCGCCCAGAGAGGCTCGCTCCGGGGCTGTCCGCCTCTGCCTCCCCTGGGCTTCTAACCAATGGGTGCTGTTTTATTTATTTATTTTTTCCTTTCCTAACTTTTAAAAGCCGGAGGCTTGGCGGGTGAGGGGGCGGTGGGGCGTGAGGTGAGTGGGTGTAGGGAAGGCGGCAGTCTTAACTTCCCCGTAACCGGAACGACTGCCCCAAACCATTGGTGCCAACCAGGAAGAAGGCGGCCTGTTTGCAAACGTTGTTTCCCCACCACCACCACCCCCGGGGGTAGCGGAGTTTTCCCTTCTCCCGGCTGTTTCGCCCAGGCTGACGGTGCCCGCAGCTTGCTTTTCCCCTAGGTTGTCCTCTCGGGGGCTTGAACCGGAGAAGCGCAGGGCAGTGGGAGAGTTGGGCAGGAAAGGGGGGGGGGGCTGAAGAGCTTTCTAGAACGTGCCTCCGGGCGGCCCTGCCTCCGGGCGCCTCAGACGTTTCTAGCGAAGCGAAGGGGGCCGGGAGCCAGACGCTTGAGGCGCCTGTTATTCCCGGGTCTGCCGTGGGGACTGAGATCCGCCGCGCGCGCCTCACGGACGCCGGCCGGAGGACTCGGCTCCGCCGCGCGCGCCTCACGGACGCCGGCCGCCCTGTCCTGGCCCAGGGAAGGCCCGCGGTGCGGCGGCCGCGGCCCGCACAGCTGTTCCCCGGGCTCGGGACGTGGCCGCCGGGCAGGCCTCACCGAAGCGCCGAGCGCCCCGTGGGCAGCCCAAGAGCGGGTGGCCATTTCTGGACCTGTCCCTTGACAGAATGCGACGGCCTCAGAGCTGCCACTTTTGCCAGTCTTTTTTTTTTTTTTTTTTTCGTTCACCCCGGCCGGCTTTCTCCTCCGAAACCCTCACGGTCGCCCTTGCCTGCCCTTTGCTGTCCAGGCAGCTGCGAGGACGGCTTCCCGCCGGGCGCCTCGCCTCTGGCGTCCCCTGGAGGCTCCCCGAAAGGGTCCCCGACGCCAGCCCTGGGCCGGCCGGGCACTCCGCTGCCCTCGCCTCAGACGCCGCGGGTGGATCTCCAGGGAGCGGAGCTGTGGAAGCGCTTTCACGAGATTGGCACGGAGATGATCATCACCAAGGCGGGCAGGTAAAGGCTGGCGCCGACACTGCCCGGGCCCCGGCTTCTGCTCAGCGTGGCTCCCGGCGAGCGCGGCCGGGGCTCTGGTCAGCGGGCTCGGAGGGACGGACGGGCCGGGGAGGTCGCGGGCTGGTGGCGGGAGGTCGCGGGCTGGTGGCGGGAGGTCGCGGGCTGGGGCGGGCTGGTGGCGGGCTGGTGGCGGGAGGTCGCGGGCTGGTGGCGTTCCTGTGGCCGCGGGTGCCGCATCTCCCGCCGCCGCGCTCGAGTCCAGGTCGCCCTGACGTGGGCGCCGGCTTTTCAGTTCTAGAACCAGGAGACTCCTTCCAAACCCAGATTCTTTCAAATATTTAAAAACCCGTTTGCTCTTTGGCATATTGTGGCCGACTTTTAGGGCACTCGCAGCTTGGTTCTTTATCAGGTTTCTTGGCACTGTGAGAACATGGTGTGCAGTTCTATTTGGATTTGAGACCGGGATGAAAAGTCACAGGAATTATGCGTAATGTATGTGTAAACAAATATGACTGCAAGAATAATTATCCTGAGTTTGTAACATCCTATTTATGCATAATTACTTTTTTCAAATAATATCAACACATTAGCCTACATTTTAGATTCTTTAAAAAAGTTTTGCCGATGTTGTTAAGTCATGTTGGTGTCAGAGTGTGAAATGTGCACATCCATCGGTTACTAAATGGAGTTGTTGGCCAGATTATATTCATTTGAGGTAGGCACTGAGATATTTACATTTTAAAGTTTTCAGTTCAGTTAATGCAATGAAATCTATGAATAATATACTTCCTTAAAAGGAACTTTAAAAAGCACACTCTGGTCTTCCAGGGAGTACACATGGTAAAAACCTGGAGAGCATAAAAGTATCCAAACTTATTAGAAATTACAAAAACATATTTTATTGAATCCATATGCTCCCTTCTGCATTTTCACAGAGCCTTTATTAATGATCCAAATTCAGTCTTCAACAATACAAAGCAGCAGTTGTCTTATAAAGGATGTAGTTAAAGACCTCGACGCTTTATCTTACAGGTGCACTGAAATAACATTTAAAAAGCCAGTGTAGTAGTAAATTGTTCTCATGCCTAGTTAGGAATAATGGACTTTCTTTTCTGTGGAAGTAGTCTTTAATGGCATTATTGTTATGAGGAAAATTTGGTAAATAATAACAGTACTAAAATTTGTGTTATAAGGTCAAATTAGCAAAAATTAGATTAGCTGGAAGGGTCATACACATAAATCATTAGATCAAATTTTCAAATAGAAGAAACTGCTGCATTTGTTTTTGATATGCAGTGATTTGCTCTAGTATTCCTGCTGTCGTGTCATTTTCAAAAGCAAGTGCCTTTCTTTCCGCATTTCCTTGACACACTTTTCTGGAAAGTAAAGATGCACAGATATTCACTTATTTTAATTAGCCAAGCTTTGGGTAAGTGTGGCTTTAAAAACGCATTTTCAAGGTTTGGTGAGGGCCAGAATGATTTGGTAAATATAAATTGTGTTTAGTTTCTGCTTTCAATAAAGAAGTTTTACTATACCTTTCAAATTTAGAGCAACTTTTGCACTTCACCTTTACCAGGCTGCAGACAGGAAGTCCTGTCTCAATAAAGAACATATTGTTTGGTTATAGCATGGCACATTGGCTCCTTGTGGTTTTTTTATAACCCTTTTAAAATTTCACATTATAATATATTTTATCACTTTAAGAAATGTGAATTTTTCTGTTTTGCCGTTTGGTACATTTTGTGTTTTTGTTATTTAAGTAAATATGCTTCTAGATTTCGTTTTAAAAAATGAAGTGCTTCTTGTAGTGCCATGATGGTTTCAGTGCAAAATTTGCTTAGTTTCAGCCACTCTGACAGGTTAGTAAACATGGAACTCTTATATGCAGGGTGCTAAAAATTACTTTTAAAATTTCCACATTTAAAAAAAATAACTCTCCATGTTCTGACTCCTTGAATTAATATTATCAGATGGAATGCTTAAGTTTAAGAAGAAATTTAAGATGTTTCTTTGCTTATTCATTCTTTGTCCTATTCCAAATAAAAATAAAACCCAAAGCCTGTCTCTCCCCTCCCTTATAAATAGGCGCATGTTTCCAGCAATGAGAGTGAAAATCTCTGGATTAGATCCTCACCAGCAATATTACATTGCCATGGATATTGTGCCAGTGGACAACAAAAGATACAGGTACAGTGATTGGATACACAACAAAAACGATGCTGGGGTTTTACATCCAGTTCCCGAGTGGTCTGTGATAGCTGTGGTCTTTGAAGAATTTTCAGTTCTGTAATTCAGCAATAACCATGGTTCCAACAGCCAAATCAGTTCCGTATCTTGCAGAAAATACAGAAACTTATTTTTTGTTTGGCTTTAATGGATAACAAAAATGTTTTACAAATATTGAGGATCTTAATAGGGGCCAGTTTGATGTTGTCGAACTAAATCTATTTTAAATTGATTCGTATTTTAATTAGAATTTTGGTAGGAAATGTAAAAAGTCTGTTGATAGTATATTAAATGTATTTTCTTCCTGAGTTTTTCATCTTGAAATAAATTTATTTAATCTTGCAGTGTTCAAAATCATAAATCATAAATCCTTGCAGACCTTTTTGCTTTAACAATTATTTACACTTTCTACAAATAAGAAAATAGTCTCATAATTCATAAGGATATTAACATGTCCTAAATTAGTAATAAATTGTTGCTTTTTTGTTGCCTTTTGGAGTACCACAATAAATTTTAAAAACCTTTATAATATTTGGGTTTTGAAAGAGACTGTGTTTGTCTCAACCTCAAGTGAACTTTGAAAAGAGCTATTCTACATTTCCGAAGTATACTTTTGCTTTTCTTTCTTTACTGTAAGAAAGTAAATCAGCAGTTTTCAATGACAATGCTTTTTATTTTCTTGAAGATTTAAGGATGCTAACATTTATAGAATGAAGTTTTGAATGTTTGAAGATCAGAAACGCTATTTTAAATTTTGTTCATCTATATTTTTTTCTTAAAAATATGTAGAAAGTTTAGTCTGTTTTAAAATGAAATATTTAGTTTTTTAACTTGAAAATTTAAGGAACTGCTTTTGTGAAACAGGCTTATGGTATCAGAGCATTCGACTTTTAATTGGCACATGGCCATATGAAATTCTACAAAATGGGTAACGAGAAAGTTTCATTATTTATGTTTTGTTTACAGTACGGTGTATTGCTTTAATTAAGTCATTCAGTTTTATTTAAATTCTATACTGGACAAGAGAAACTTGAAAATATTGAAGCTTGCTTTGGTTAAAATCCACATTCTAATTTTGGTTTTGTACTTAAGACGATAATCTGAATCTTAGTGATCTGCATACTATTCATTTTTAAATTTGTCTCTTGCATTCTCCACATTTCTTCCTCATATCTATAGACGATTTATTATACATGGCTGATTTTTATTTACTTTCTTAGAAAGCAAGAAACTTTTATAATTTAGTATTAAGATGATAGATGAAATTGTAAACATAAATTTTCTTTCACTTTTATTGCTTCCCAAGAAGAAGTTTGGCTTTGGCATTTATATTTAGAATATTTTGCAGAGAATGTATGACATGTAGCATTTATTCTTAGTGTGTGGGGAGTTTAATCTATTCAATATGTATCTTTTCTCTATTTTGGTAGTAATTCAATTCATATCAAAATTGAAAAGTTTTTGCTGGAATTTCTAAAATTTCCATTTTCTTCTGTAACTTTTTCAGTAGTATTAGGAAAAAAAAATTCTTGGCTATTGTCTGGTGTTTGAGTGGCATTTGGTTAAGTTGGAAATGATTGTCACTCGCCTTGTTAGAATGCAAAATTAATAGCCACAAAAGCCCACAGAAACTTACTTACTGAAATTACACCATAGCAATTAAAGGAAGATTTTAACAAATTATTCTCAATTTTGTCAGTATGTATTTCTGCCACGAAAAAGAATTAGAGAATAGAAAGCATGTTGACCTCAAAAGAGAATGAAATATATGACAATAATTCAAACAAGGGGCCTCACCCTAAAGACTATGGAAATCTTTTGTGCTCATTTATAAGGAGATTTATATACTATGTAAGCAGAATTTACTGAAATCATCACCAAAGTATTTCTTTAAATTCTGTTACATTTTAACACAAAATGGAAGCAAAGCATAAACTTACAATTTTATTTATACTTTGTCTTCAATAGCTAATTTCTAGTTTTTAAATTGGTTTGATTTAAAAAATGTTAATACAAGGACACTTCCAAAAGTTTGTGGAAAATGAAATTAAAGTAAAAGATTTACTATGGCGCAGAAATTTTTGAGGTTTGTACATATGAGGAGTCTTCAAAAAGCTCATGATAAATGTGTATTATGAAAATACGATGCATTTTATGATTACATACTCAGTTAAAAGTAACTGAGCACTCACCTACTATGTTTTAACCTAGAAAAATGATTCTAAACTATAGTGCTAAAACTTTTTTTTGTCAAAATAGAAGTTACTGGAATTTCTTACAATTTCCTGTTGGCTGTATGACTGTCTTCCATCAGACAGTACATAAACTAACGTGGAATTGGTCTTAAAGGAAGTGGGACTCTAAGATATAACTTTGAAGTATTTTCATTTACTTAAAGGTGGTTTTGACAACTTAATAGTTTGTTTAAGCCAATTAAAAATCCATATAGAAAAGTGAAAATATCAGAATGTAGATGGAATGCCTATTAGGAATGTCAGTATTTTTAAGAATTAAGATAAATGCATTTCTAGGGCTGACAATGTGTATTTTTTTCATCAAACCATTCATATATCACTTACTTTGAGTTTTCATTGGGACACTGCTCTCTCAGAAAATTAAAAAAAAAGTGTTTGAAATCTTTTTGTTTGTAAAAAGGAAATTGATTTATTTTAGACCTTTTAAAAGGTATGTGCACTTGTGTAATTCTATGAGTTGGAAATTCCAAGTGGTGAACACTCCTTAAGCTGAGAGCATTGTCATTGCCTTCTAGGTATGTTTATCACAGCTCTAAATGGATGGTGGCAGGTAATGCGGATTCCCCTGTGCCACCTCGAGTGTACATTCATCCAGACTCACCTGCTTCGGGGGAGACTTGGATGAGACAAGTAATCAGCTTTGATAAGCTGAAGCTCACCAACAATGAACTGGATGATCAAGGCCATGTAAGTAGACAGCCTCTCTGTTGTACCACTTTGGCTGACATAGGCTCATCCACAGTGTGCCTAATTGAAGTGAATGGATGTTTCCAATGTGCATATATTCAAGATTTTAACCATGTGCATGATCTGCAGAAAAAAATCAAAGTTATGTTTTTTATTAGAGATTGTGACTAGCTGGAATATGCCTAAAAATGTTTAATAGGTTAAAATCTAGATAAAGCTACATTTCTGTTGTAATGAAAGAATCCTAGGCAGAGACTTTTTTTTTTGTCAAAACATTGGTGTAAAATCCCATGAGGTGCTAATTATTATACTCTGAATATGAATACTACTGGGGAGTTGGGTAAACAGGGATCATGATTTATTGGCTATGCCTGCATACTGCTCTTTTCCCGCTGAGGCTTATTGCTTCTCAGTAAAGGCTCAGGCTGAGGCTGTTGGTGTGTTCCATCTGTAAGTTCCCAGTTGTTTTGCAATAATATCTAATGTGTCAAAATGTGTTACAACAATAATTCCTTTTAGTCTGGAAACTGCTGAAATGTGATATGTAAGTCAAAGTTCAGCCTTTCCAAAAATAGTCTTTTTAACACTTTATTAATTTTTATGGAGTATTGTTCCTAGGCAAGATTTCTACATTACTGTTTAAATAAGTGAGTAGCTGGATGCATGCTGATTTCTGTTTAAATTTAGCATGTCTGTTAGTTTCTCTTCTTTGAGAAGGTTTTTGATTGGGGTGGGAATGAAGTGCCTTTTGAAGAATACATCATATATAAATGAAATACCGACTTGTTCATTTCTCAAAGCAATGACATAAAGAAAGTGTGTTTAAGAGCAAATATTTTAAAACAAAAATGGAATTTCATAAGTTAGTGATAGAAATGATACAATGTGGTTTGCATGTTGCTACACAATTAACTTTAATGAAACTATCCAAGTACACATTTATGCAAATACATTATTTAGATTTTTACTACACAGAGTAATAACTCACAAGTCCAGTGTTTTTTCATTGATTGTTGAAACTTTATAAAGCAGAATCAGAAAAGTAAGATGATAGTTTTCTTTTTCTGAATCCAACTTTATGCCCTATATTTTATTAATTTATTATTTTGTGCATAATACATTCTTCAAATGGCATTTAAATCCTATATCAATAAGAAACCTACTCAAATAACAGAAGCTAACAGAAATTATTCATATGAATATTTTATTAAGTTATTTATTTTTAAAGGTTCGGAGAGTGATGGAGATGAAGGCAGGGTTCCATCTATTGGTTGAGTTCTTATAGGCAACGTCTGGGTTCAGGGAGCAGAAGGCAATCCAGGTATCCCATGTAGGTGGCAGGAGCCTGTTACTTAAGCCATTACCACTGTTCCTCCAAGTCGGAATTGGCAGGAACATGGAATCATGAGCTGAAGCCAGGAAAAATCTAGGCATTCTTATTTGGGATGCAGTTTAACCACTAGGCTAACTACTCCTCTCTGGGCCCTATATTTTAGTACATTGCTTTGTTTCCTTATTTTTTATGTTTATTTTTATAATTAAACATGATCAAGTTGAAACAATTACTTTTCAGTTGGCTTTAGTGAAGGAACACCATTATTTTCCTATCTTCATGAGAGTGCTTTTAAATGCATACCCATTGAAAGGCCTTCTGTATTTTTTAGAGTGGGAAATGTTGGACTAAAATCTATTTAATGTTAATTTGCTATCAAAATCTTAAGTATCCTGCACTTTTCTAAGTTTTACAGCTTGAGAATATATGTTTTGAAGGGATAGATTTAAAAAGTATATATTCTCATACATAAGTGCTAAACTTAAATGATTTAAATCAATATAATATTTCAAATCTTATTCTTTCAGTTACTGGCATTATACTTGTGTTTAATAAATCATGTATCTAATGTTATATATATATCTAGCAGTTTGTCTGTCTGTGATTTAAAACTTTGTAATATCACCAGACTTTATTTGAAACAGTATTCTCCAGGAAATAGGATGTATGTGTAAGTTATTTTAAGGCATTACTTCATGTGATGTTGGTAGGATAGCAGGTCTGAAAAAAACAGGCTGGCAAGCTAGAGCTCCAGGAAAGAGTTGATGTTGCAGTCCAAGTCTGAAGGTAAACTGCACTCAAAATTGTCCCTTTTTCTGGGCCTCTGAGTCTTTGTTCTTTTAAAGCCTTCAACTGATTAGATGAGGCCCACTCACATAACGAGGGAGTACTAATTATACCTAAAGATGTTTTCTCAGGAACTTGAGACTAATATTGGACCAATGAACTGGATCTCTGGGCTAGCTAAATTGACATATAAAACTTCCTGTCACATAGTATTTGCTTGAATTATGAGAGACTGGCCTGCAAATTGAAAGTCAATGCTTAAACCTGAATAGTTGTAGTATTTCATGATTAGAAAAAATTTTGAAATACAAAAAAAGAGGCATGAGCTAGAGAAGTGTGTGTGTTAGTGAACATTCTCCTTTGAATTTGTGGCAGGATGTGCTAGTTTACCAAAGGGAAGTAGCTAGTGTGTGGGAGAAAGGGAGGGAGGGAGAGAGGGAGTGAGGGAAAGAGGGAGTGAGGGAGAGAGGAAGAGAGAGCGAGCGAGTGATCTGTGCAAATGGTAAAAATTAAAAATGTATAAAGGGACCAGTTGATACTTAAGGAGGATGCACTGCTCTTCCATTATTTATTTTAAGGCAGTTTTGAGAGCTTGGTAAAATGTAAAAGATACAAAGCCATGGTGTCTTCCTTTGGTGAGTTTCTAGCCTAAGAGGGGAAGGAAGATGTGCATGATTACCATCCTGCCAGCTCAGAGGAATGCAAATCCTATCTTAGTCCAGGTAGAATGGATTGAGAAGGCTTCAGGAAGATGACAGCAGTTGCTTATTTGCTCATTTTGATGGCGCCAAAAGAGGCTAGATTAGGAATGTAATTTAATTCTACAGATGATGGTGTTGCAGGTTCAAAGTAGATAGGTGTGTCATTAAAGCTTTTTTTTTTTTAATTGGAAAGTCAAATATACAGAGAGGAGGAGAGACAGAGAGGAATATCTTCCATCTGTTGATTCATACCCCAAGTGGCCACAGTGGCCGGTGCTGTGCCGATCTGAAGCCAGGAGCCCAGATCCCAGAGCCTCTTCTGGGTCTCCCACACAGGTGCAGGGTCCCAAGGCTTTGGGCTGTCCTCAACTGCTTTCCCAGGCCACAAGCAGGGAGCTGGATGGGAAGCAGAGCCTCTGAGATTAGAATCAGCACCCAAATGGGATCCTGGTGCGTTCAAGGCGAGGACTTTAGCCACTAGGCTACCATGCTGGGCCTATAGTTTTTTCATTTAAAAAAGCAGTTATTTTACTTGAGAGTCAGAAATACAAAAAGAGAGGGAGAGACAGAGATCTTCCACCTCCTGGTTTACTTTCCAAATGGAATAAATAGCCAGTAAATGGCTATGCTATAGCCAGAGCTCGGTAGGTCTGAAGTTGGCAGTCAGGAGCTTCTTCTAAGTCTCTCACATGAGTGAAGACGTTCAAGGTCTTGGATCATCTTCCTCTGTTTTCTCAGGCTGTTAGCAGGGATGTGGATCAGAAGTGCAGCTCGTGGGACTTGAGCCAGTGCTTTTAAGGGAAACCAGTTCTGTAGGAGGCACACCCATGTGCTGTGCCACCACACCAGCCATAATAGTGGCACTTTCTAATTCGCCTGTCTCTCTCCTGATTTAGAGACTTCCCAGGGACTCATATCTCTGCCTTGCTGTGTTTGAGGTTCCTCCCCACTCCGTAGTTCTAAAGGAAGTAATATTACTCTCAGAAAGTTGGGAATTCACATGAGAAATGATTTCCTAATTTTCTTTGAAAATTACTTTCATGCTATCCTCTCACTTCACAGTTTTTGTTTTGGTTTTTTGCAGAAGATGTGAAAATGTGTATCATAATGTCGTGATGACCTGGGGGGGTTGTTAATAACAACAAAATGATTGCAGTAATCAAATCCTCACAGGATTGTGACTGGACATAGGACCATATGAGGCATGAGAAGATGTGTCATTTTCTCCAAAGGGTCTTTCGGGCTTTCTAAATACCAGAATGGCTTCATTCTCTTCTCATTTATCTTTGAGAATCAGGTGTTGAAAAGTATCACAGAAGTAGCTGAGTTCTTCCTGGTAGAAGGAACTTGGAGGGACTTAGAAGAAGCACATATTTATGTTCATGAACAATGTTTTTCTCTCTCAGGCTTAGTTTTGTCTTGAGTCATATTGGAATCACACAAGACTGAGTCAGTCAAATGAGCTACTGAACTTGAAAGTACATGTTTGTATGGAGTGCTTTATATGCAGTGCCATGCATAAGGCAATAGAAAGACCACCTCCTATGGAACTTATGATTTATTGTTAGAATCTAATTATAGCCTTGACCCCCTACCATTTAAAGTGGGTAGGTACCTGGTATCACCAAAAATATAGGAATCCCAAGTTTTGCTGTGTAATTCGCCTTGGTCCCTGTCTTTACAGCAGGGTAGTTTAGGTCATCTGGAAACTTTCCAGTCAGCAGGGAGTGTTTCCCTGTGGAGGTTCCTGTAACATTTGACCCAGTCACCTGTCTGTCAAACTTCAGGCTCTTTTGACTCATCTTAATCGTAAATAAATAGTAGTATGCTTCTTTTGACTCACTTCTGGTATCTTTTGAGTAGAAACATGTGTATGAGCCTGTTCATGGGAAAGTATTCCTCTGCGTAATTCTGTATACTAACAGAACCCTCCTCCCTAATTTTCTGCCAAAACAAAATGGAGAGCATAGATCACTTCCACAAGATATAATTATGTCAATTCCAGTGGTAGATATTATCATTGTGGCCTTGTTGTCTATAAGAACAGTACTCCTAGTTCTGCTTATTCAAAATATGGTTGACTACCCATCGTTGTAAAAGTCCATTCAAAATAAATAATGTTACTGCATAAAGAACTGAGACTTGTTTAAAATTGGTCCTTAAGTTACTTTATAAAATATTTTCTTAAATGAATTTCAGGTTACTATTACTAGTTGTTCCTTAATGTAAAAATACAGGGATATCACAGACATTTTTGTTTCTTATTGCATAAACTCCATTCACAATTCTTTTTTGAAATACACCACGTATATGAGAAATAAATTAGAGGGTATATAACTAGAGTGGGCCTTGTCAGCAGGTTGAGCCACTTGTGTGGGACCCATGCATCCAGTATTAGAGTGCTAGGCCAAGTCCTAGGCGTTCTGCTTAAGATCTTGCCTCCTGTTAGTGCTCCTGGAAAGGCAGTAGGCAATGCCATTGCTGTGGGAATCCTAAATAGTTGCTGGATTCTGGCTTTGACCTCGTTTATTTGCAGCTGTTGTAGGCATTTGAAGAATGAATTAGTGCTTGGAATATTTCCTTGTCCTCATCCTTATATGTTACTCTGCCTTTCAAATAAGTAAATAATCTTACTTTTCATTGATTGTTAAATAGAAACCCAAATAAATATTTTTTTCCTTCATTCAAAATCAGCTCATTCTATGTTTCTGAAATGGATTGTGGATTTATTTTTGTATATTTAATGTGAAGTGAATTTTTCCAATTTTCTTTCTGCTTTGAAACTTGTTTCTAAAAGATCTGTTAATTCTCCCTGTAAGTTTATAAATGCTGCTCTTTTGTTTATTGGTATTTACTTACTGTTGACTTTGGCATCTTGGAGAAGAGGAAGAATTTTTCTCAAACTTTCCTACTAGACAGGATATCAAGTTTAAAGAAGGGGAAAAGACAGAATTCAAAAGCTTTTGTTACATAATTGGTCATTTGCTGCTGTATGTTCACATTAAAAAGAATATGTTAAGGTAAAAATATATAATAGTAAGTAATTTGAGAAAAGAACCAAGATAAGATAATGCTTTTTTTCTGGGTTATATGGTAAATGAAGCAGCGGGTAAGGTTTACTTAATTGTCTCCTCCTTTGTGTGCCCTTTATGGCACCTGCCCCTGTGGTGTTGCATACACACAGACATTTTTGTGCTAAAATGATGGCCAAGGAACCCAGCTTCCAGGACCAGAATTGAGGGTTTAGAAGCCTTTTGCTTCCAATGAACCTTAGCTTCTTCAGCTATGTATTAGGGTGTTAGTGTCTGTCTGTCTTTTTTTTTTTTAAGATTTATTTATTTTTTTATTAGAAAGATTCAGAGAGAAGGAGAGACAGAGAGAAAGATCCTCCATTCACTGGTTCACTCCCCAAGTGGCTGCCAAGGCCAGAGCTGGACCAATCTAAAGCCAGGAGCCAGAAACTTCCTCTGGGTCTGCCATGTAGGTGCAGGGTCCCAAGGTCTTGGGTCATCCTCCACTGCTTTCCTAGTCCACAGGTAGGAAACTGGAGGGGATGTGGAGCAGCTAGGTAAGAACCAGTGTCCGTATGGCATCTTGGTGCATGTGACGTGAGGACTTTAGCCACCAGGCTGCTGTGCTGAGCCCATCAGTGTCTTCAGATTTAAATATGTCATAGGTAATGTTATGCAGAATCCTACCTGTTAATCCGAGAAGGGGAGCACTTTTTGAATGAGGTCGAGGAGCAAGCCTCAACTTCTGCCTTGACCTCCTCTCTTTTGCCTCAATAGCTCTGGAGAAAAACTACTTGGTTCAAATATTTCAAGATAGTGTTCAGCCCTGCTGATATTTCAAAATGAATATTAGTGAACATTATGCTCAGATAATATATTGAGGAAATGAAGATAAAACATTGCATATTCACTGAAAATCTGAGTATGCAGATTGTTAGAATCAGTGGAAATAAATGTCACTTCTATGTTTTTCAAACTTACAATTTATGCTATGATCTAGTATGTACACATACACACAGATAACAGAAAATATACAAAAAAGTACTTAGCATTACTATAAGGAGCATTTTCTAGTTTATGTATTCCTTTATAATTTTTTTTTGAAATATCTCTGCAATGCTATAAATTGATTTCATGAGCCACTAGTGGTCATTGGAATTCTTCCTTTCAGTTAGACTTTGAAAGAGAACTTTCCAGGGCTTACAGATCCCTGTGCATGTCTGTAGGTGATAATTTGAGCTTTTGTTCTCACTTGTTCTTGCATATTCTTCATATTCTTGCTTCCTGCTTATTAAGCATGTCTTCTAGGACACTCATTATATCTGCTATTCAGGCACTTGTTCCATTGAGAGAGGGAATACTTTACAGTAAAAACAAAACAAAACAAAAAAACCCTTGACCTCAGTGCTTGTGACTACCAGAGGATAAAAACATTGTGTTATTGCAGCAGGCACACTTTCCATGTACAGGACTGTTGGTTTCTGGGATGACCCTAAGGATTCCAAATGCAGCATGTTAAATTGCTCACATTCTGAAAAGCTAGTCAATCCCTGAATTTGCTGATTTAAATGCTTTTCCTCCAAATTTATAACACCCAAAAACCAAAGTCAGATTTTATCTCAGCAGAGATTCAGCCTTACTAATTAAGCTAATTAATAAATACCTGAATATGGAATCCCAGCAATCAGTTATCCCATTGGATAAGTGATTTCTTTACTTTGTCTCACTCTTGAAAGTATAAAACTTAAATGAAGAAAAAAGCCACACATGGTACCACTTCCAGAGATGATTGCTATTCGTATATTTGCCTGAGTTTTTAAATTTCACTCTATGTAGTTGTGGTAGGTTTATAAATAAATTACATCCCCTTTACTATTTAACTCTTATTTTAAAAAGGTGGGCATTTGGTTACTGTTTGAATTACTTATACCCATATAAGTATGGGAATTACTTGATTTGAGTTCCAGCTCTGCTCCCAATTCCACCTTCCTGATAATGTGCATGCTGAAAGGCAGCAGTGACTATTCAAGTATTTGAGTCCTAGTTACCCAAGTTAGAGACCCAAAATGAGTTCCAGGCTGCTGGCTTTGGCGTGACCCAACTCCAGCAGTTATCAACGTTTGGGGATTGAACCTGCAGATGGAGAGCTCTTGCTTTTGTGGTTCTGTCTCTTTCAAATTAAAAGTAAGCATAATATTTAAAAAGAAGCATTTGATTAGTTCTTAAAATTTCCTAAGCCTTGTTAATAATATTGTATTTCATTGTGAGGATTTTCATGTATGTAGTGAATTTACTTGGAACATATAAGGGGTTGATAGTTTCCTCACTGTTACAAATTTTGTGATGCTCATCTTTGTACATGAGAAACTGTTCTGAGTGGGAGTATTTCCTTACGGTTAAAGAAATGGAATAGTTGGACAGAAGATAATTGAACCACATTATCAAATTCTGATGCTGAATTTGAGAGAATCAGCTTTTCTAGTCCCTGGAATTTGAGTCTTAGGTGCTTTGTTACAGTGGGGGCTTTAATAGTGAACTCTCCTGACCAGAAACTTTGTGAGCCACACACAAAGATAGTGAAATGTTCCTAACATTCCCTTTGGCCTTAGATGGACATTTATAGTCAGTGATGGAGGGAGAATTTTCTTCTACAAAAATCTGGTTTGCAAGTTAGTATTTTTAGAGAATGGATGTGGTACAATTTAAATAAGCATTCCAGTCTCAGTTTTATTTGTTTGGATTCTGTTCCATTTGCATCATTATAAATAAAATGCTTAAGAATTTTTCTTGTATTTTCCAACAACAGAAAATTTGATAGGTTCAGATGATTGTCTAGGGTTTCAAAGACATAGAGCTGTTTATTGTGTATTTTTATGTACATTTTACAAAAGCTTCCTAGCCCTTCCTATCTGCTACTCATATGGTTTATTAAATTGACATTCTAGGCTCCTTGAAAATGTCAATTTTCCACAGAAGTTTTTTTATACATCGGTATTTAGCCATCTTGTCAAGATTGGTTTGATGATTCTGATAAACTTGGCTTCTCTTTCCTTGATGTAGATCATTCTTCATTCTATGCATAAATACCAACCTCGAGTGCACGTCATCCGTAAAGACAGTGGAGATGACCTTTCTCCCATCAAGCCTGTCCCAGCTGGGGAGGGAGTTAAGGCCTTCTCCTTTCCAGAAACCGTCTTCACAACTGTCACTGCCTACCAGAATCAGCAGGTATAGTTGCCTTAATTGATGCTTTACTCAGTATGTCAATTCAGCAGTTAATGATAACATAGCTATCCCTTTCTATTTATCAAAGTGTAATTGTGAAATTGAAAGATGTTTATTTTTGTATTAACTTTTGTAGTACTATATATACATACTAAACACACAGCAGTTCCTTTTGATGATTCCCCAAGTAATCCTAGCGAGTACTTCTTTAGTTGAGAATGCATCTTGTGACAACAGCACAGATTTACTTGCTATTTGAAGATATTGAATGATGATGTCACAATTAAAATTAGTGTGTTGGTTACTAGGAAATTGATGTGTAACGTATTAAAATGTGAATTGTGTCATGGAGCATAGAATTTCAAAGCTCACTTTCATTTAAGATTACAACCCATGGATTGTAAGAGATTTCAAAGGAATTTATCCTGTAGATCATTTTGTTGTCTATACCAATGAGACTGTTTCTTTCAAGATATGGTTTAATTGTGACAGGCAGATGTATATTTTTATAGCTTGAGAGATCTACAGTTGTGTAATCTGAGAAATTGGCCACTTTTGTAAAGTTAGAAATAATCTATGAAGTGAAATTTTTTGTATGGATAAATATGTGTGTGTCTTTGAGGCTTTATTTACATGTGTCACATACGGGGCTAATCGTATTAGAAGCAAATATTTAATGCATTCTAGTGTGCAGTTCCAGTGAGTTCATAAGGCACAACTGTGTATTGGAAGATGGTGTAGTTTGTGGCAGATTTAAAACATTCCTAATATTTAGCAGGGTTGTTTTAGGTCTCTACCTGCTTGCATTTTAATAAACCTCAGTTTAAAAGGTTAGGTTTTATTCTTTTTGTTGTCGTTTCTATTGCAGAGCTGCTTGGTAGCTTTGGAGTCTGTGCAGTGTCCTTCAGGCTGAGAGGCTCAGCTGCTCTCACTGGAGAGACATGCCAGTTCTTAACCAGAGCTGTCCAGCCCTCACATAATTGCTGTTCTTCCCTGCATGGTTTCAGGCAGGAACATAAAGTCTAACTGTAGAATCAGGAAGATACATTTTATGTCAAAACAGTCAGAAAACTATAAAACAAAAATTATGCGGCAGGGAGTTCCTATGTGCCTACCTCTGCTATTACTAACATTTCATATTAGTATTCTTGTCAGTATTAATGAACCACACCTAGCTTCTCATATTTTTAAAATTCTAACTCCTTTTTGCCCTGTCCACTCCTCCTGTCCTCCAGGAAGACACACTTAAAATACACTAGCAAGAGAAAATGATGTTTTAAGAAAAACAAATAATGCATAAGGAGAACGTGGACATGTTTAATATCCTTTTAATAATCTAAAATTGTCTTTCCTTGTACCTCTGTCTTCTGCATACCTGTGTTACTTGTGCCATGATTGTATTTTCTCCCACTCTCTGCAGTACAGAAGTACTTTGCAATGGACTTTCAGTGACATGCTGGTGACTAGCAACGATTATCTAACATTGACAGGTTGTCTAAGAGGGCAGAAAATTAGAAAGGAAATCGATAAAATACAATCATAGTGACTTTTAGGTTGTCTGAATGTTGGGGCCAACATTGTGGTATAGCAGTTCCAACTGCCACACATTAGAGGCCGGCACAGTGGCTCTGCTGGCTAATACTCCACTTCCAAGCACTTGCATCCCATGGGGCCTGGTTGTGTCCCCAAGTGCTCCCTTTCCCATCCAGCTTTCTCCCTGCTTGTGGCCTGGGAGGGCAGTGGGGAGTGGCCCAGAGCCTTGGGGCCCTAGGTTCATGTGAGAAACATAGGGTGGGGTGCTCTTAGCTCCTGACTTTGGGTCTGCTCAGCTCCAGTTGTTATGGCTGTTTGGGGAGAGAATGATAGACGGAGGATCTTTCTGTTTTTCTTTTTCTCTGTGGATCTGCCTTTCCAATGAAAATAAATATTAAAAAAAAAATAACCTACCACACACACGAGCATCCTACATAGACACTAGTTTGTGTTCTGGCTGTTTCATTTCCAAGCCAACCCCTGCTACTACTCCAGAAAGGCAGTGGAAGGTGGTCAGAGTGCTTGGGCCCTACCACCCACATGATAGACCTAGATGAAGTACCTGGCTGCCAGATTTGGCCTGGCTGAGCACTGGCTATTGTGACTGTCTGGGGAGTGAACCAGCAAATGAAGATATTCTCTCTCTCTTTCTTTCTCTGTAACTCTGACTTTTAAATAAATAAATAGACAAATACATTTGCAAGTTTTTTTCCTAACTATTATTTTGAGTTACAGAAAATTGGTACTCACCTGTTTGTTAGCAGTATGAACTCCATAGCCAAACTCATAGCCCATTCCTACTGGCGAGTAATCGTAAGATCTTAGGAAAGTTACTTACACCTCATTTTGGTGGCGGGGTGGGGGGCGGGAAGGGGGAACAGAATTGGCCATCAGCTATTCTTAAGCTGCCTTAACTGCTGAATAGTGTAACAAAGCAAATGTGGTATGCACTCAATAAATATAGTGAAATTAGTAAAATAATACTTAAGACAGTAATTATGATATGTTTTTGATGCATTTCTGTTTAGACAAAGTATCATATGAATATAAATCTTTAAAAATACTTTCGATTTTTAAAAATTTTGTTTTTTCACTCTAACATTTTTATATGAATGTTTAAATTATTTAAGATTGCTTAAATATTGTTTGAACATAAAATTGAGCTATAATGATTTATAAAGAAATCTTTTTCAGTGACAGAATGGTGGATGTGAATTGACTAGAAAATCCTTTCACTATATTATTTAAAATGCACTTTTATCCATGTACTAAGATAGTATAATATGGGACACATTTGTCCAAAATTTTGACTGAGAACATGGGTAAGCTATGTAAGGGGACAGCAGGTCGTTTTCCAGAGAGGCTTTTTCAGTAAATAGTTGCAGCAAATTTTGCCTTTTATCTAAGCAGAGCAATCAAAAGTATGCTCCTTAACTTAACGAATTTCCTTAGACCAAGGCATTTGGGAAACAAAACATAATGTGTCTCCCAGAAAATAGGCTGTTAACTTCTCCGGCAAAGTAGGATTTGGTAATAAGCAGATTACTATTTATTAGTGTTAAGTTCAGCAAGTTTTGCACAATTAAGAAAATTAATAGAGATGATTAGAACACTTTAAAAGATATTCTTCCACAAATCTTGGCATCTTAGTGGACAAGAAGCTGATTATGAGTCAACATATTGGAATCTTAGTTAAGATTAAAACACTTATTTCTTGTACATACATGATGATCCTTTCTGGAGCTTCAAGTATTGGTTAACTCTGATTACTCAGTTCCTGTAGAGCTTTGACCAGATTCAGTTTCCACATATAGAAGTTGACCGAGCACAACTTTGAGATTCACAAAGAAGACTAAAGGAGAGAAAATAGTACAGAAGCAGGAAATCAATGGAATGTATGTTTTATCTGGATCTGAGGAAGAGAGGGCTGTGCAGATGCTTAACATCTGCAGTCATTTCTATTGGCAATAACCTTACTTGATATTGATATGAGAGTTGATGTGATTTTTTTTCTATCTTTCAGATTACGCGTCTGAAGATAGACAGAAATCCATTTGCCAAAGGCTTCCGAGACTCTGGGCGAAACAGGTATGTGTCAGTGAAGAACATTCCAATATGGGAAGCATATTTGATATTTATTGTGAATTTTTTATTCCAAAGTAAATGGTTAGATTTGACTAATTTGGTGTTGAAATAATTTGCTCAGATGGTTGTACCTTGGATGTTATTTATTTTTAGAGTGTAATGTTGTGGCCTGCCCTAAGGTGAATTTTCAACTGTGATGTAGAGGTGAAGATGTAAGCTTTTAGGAACTACTTTGATTTAAAGGAGCCTTGAAAAGTCCTTAGTTAATAGACCTAAGGGCCTCAATGGCCCAACTGCCTCTGAAATTGATTTAGCATTTGCTTAGTGATGTTTCTGTCTAGGGTGAATGCCAGGGTTTCTTGCTAATTCAGATATCCAACTGGAATATGAAATTACTGCTTTATTGCCAACAGAGCTGATGTTCTTTAGTTTCCAAATTTGTCTTGGCTCTGCTGACAAATGCACACTTTTTTTTTCTCCATTGTGTTGTATGATGTTTATATTAAGTGAGTAAATGGGAAAGCTACAATAGTAAATTGAAGTCTATTACTTTTATCAAAAACCAAATCATCAAGTTTATATGCCAGGGGTTTTTAAATTTATTCAGATGATTTGATTCCAGTGCACTTCAGTGAAACATTTTCTTTCTTTCTTTTTTTAAGATTTATTTATTTTTATTGCAAAGTCAGATATACAAAGAGGAGGAGAGACAGAGAGGAAGACCTTCTGTCCAATGATTCACTCCCCAAGTGGCCACAATGGCTGGTGCTGAGCCAATCCGAAGCCAGGGAGCCTGGAACTTCTTTCGGGTCTCCCACACAGGAGCAGGGTCCCAAAACTTTGGACTGTCCTCAGCTGCTTTCCCAGGCCACAGGCAGGGAGCAGGATGAGAAGCATGGCTGCTGGGATTAGAACCGGAGCCTATATGGGATCCTGGGCGTGCAAGGCAAGGACCTTAACCACTAGGCTATTGCACCAGGCCCGAAACGTTTTCTAAAATAACTATTGATAGGTTAGAAAGTAGCAATAGACTGTTGTTTTCCAAATGCCCTTTTAGAGTAAGGTTTTAACTTAAATATTCCTGAAAGCATTCTTAAGTATTTGGACAATCTTTATTCTGCAAATTTGTCTAATACTCCTGGAAAACTTGATATTAATGCTGATACAGGTACACTATATCTAAGTGAAATAAGAATCTTCAGTTCTTCTAGAGACACTTTCATTTGAAATTTTAGAGAAAAAACAGGCTTAGCATAATTTAGAATTTTAATAATTTCAGGTGAATTAATTGGATAAGGTAGGTGACACACTTCATTTCTCAGAATATACTCAGTGCCCATAGAGAGTAAATATCATAATTTTTTCTGTTTTAATTTTACACAATGATGAAATTTATACATCGTGAGTATGAGGACTGTAATGCAACAAGAAATCACAAGGACTGGAGTGACTTTTAACTTAGTATTGGTTGATCAATAAGAGTAGCAGGCCTAGCTCTTAAATTCTCTTCATCGAAAGCATTGTTGAAATGAGATTTTCAGAAGTTCATGGAAGATTGTTATTAGTGAAAAAATATATATGGATTTCAATTTTTTTGCACACAAAACCCTTGTCTTCTAACTGTATTTTCCATGAGCTTTTTCATAACTCTTGTATTTCAATAGTTATCCTCTATGTTAAATTATTTTATGTCTTTATTTCAATGTGAAGGAAAAATTGCATAGCTTCCATTATGTTACCTTAGTTATTGATAGTTGTTTAAATGAGTATCTAAAAATTACGTACAAGCTGAACCATAATTTAGTAACCTGAGATGGTCACTTAGTCGGGGAAGCTAAGGGAACCTTTGGGTTGATTCCTTTTTATCTTAGTAAATGCTTTGATGAGTTTTTATGAATTTTGCTGTAGAAGAATAGTATTTATTCATTTAAGAGTATTCATTACTTTCAGTTCACTTTTTAAAAACAAAAATGAATTTTTTAAAACGCTAGAATTCCAGGCTTGGAGTCGATACATCAGGAAGGATGTCCAGTATATTGGTTGGTTTCTCTCACAAGGACATCACTGTTGATGGCACTGGGCGGCCATGCTGCTTTCATCCTCTCAGTTCATTCAGTATGAAGTAAACCCAGTGTTTAAAGTGTATTTCAGATCTATAGTAAGTCAGTCTTCTACAAGTTGCATATATCAAGTTCTGGATCAATTCTGAATATGTGAGCAAAACGAAAAACATCTGGTTATTTAAATTTTGCGGATGAAAAAATAATCAGTGGCATTGGTGAAAAAAAACCTACCAAACCTGTTGGTATAGTAAGGTCAAAATGATAGGTTCCATGTGAATATTTCCTACCTCTTGGCTGTTTCAGGGGTGTGGAGACATGATATCTGCAGTGTTTGCTACTGTTTCTTCCTTGTTCTAAAACAGTGAATGTTTTTAATGGGGATGTGGTAAATAAGGAATTGTATTTAAACACTTAACATGCTATTAAAATTTAATTTTTAAATTTTGTGTCAGGTGTTTAATATCTTACTACAGGTAAAGCATGCTGGACCTATATGTAGTTCTCTGGCTGGTGAAATAAAGTATCAGTGCTTTTTCTCACTGAAATTATTTTTTAAAATGTTTGTTTATCACAGATCATTTCTTCATTTCTCACTTTGGAATACAAAATATCAGTCAACATTTATCATTTAAAATTTTGATTTTAGCACTTTTCAATGATAGAAACAAAAAAGAGAGAATTTGGTCAATTTTAGTGTCAAATTTCTGTTATTTCCTTTAAAATAACGTAATAATATGTAAGACATGGTGGACAGTGAAATGTTTTTGGGAGCATGAAGGAGTATTGCAATATTTTTTGACATACTAACAGAGAAAAAAATCCATGAGAAAATGTTCATAATATTCCTTTATTACTTCTGGTCCTGCTGTGCTGTTGTTACTCTTTTAAAAATCTACTTCTATTTTTATTTTCCTCCATAAATGAAGTAAATAAATGGAGTAGGACAAGAAATAAACATGGACTTGTGCAGTCGTTCAAACTTTATCATATGATTTGATTTAATTCGAAATGATCCCTTCCTGGCTGCTTATGGCTCCTGCTTTATAGAAATCAGTAGCTTCAGCCCTTAAAAGCTGTCCCACAAGACATTTGTTCTGTGAGAGAGAATTTATGTGCTGAGAATAGTTTCATTCTTCAGTTAGGCCTTAGCTTTGACCCTATAAAATTTTTACTCAGGAAGGTACAAAAATTTCTTCTCTTTAAATACTTCAGGAAAAACATAACAATTTTACTAAATAAACTTGGCCATTTGATAGCATAAATTAAGGTGGTGATAAAATGTGGAAATGGTTCAAAGGCATCTTGTATAAATTATCGCCTTGGCTGCACTCCTGCAGGAGGTGCCTTTTATCTTTTCTTTGACTAGACGGGTAAGTCTCCATTACTAGAGAAAATGATGGCTTTTTAACAAAAGTCCAGATTCAGCTAATAAATATTTTATAACTGTTTCCTGCAAAATATCTGAAATCCTTTCTGGAACTTGCAGTGTGAAACAGCAGCCTCTGGAAAAATATCAGTAGCTCCAGCTCCAAAACAGATCATGTGTAGAAATACCACCTTTAGAGCATCTTTATAGCTTATGTATTTGTAAGCATCAGTAACTTTTGCCCAGAATGTGATTTACAAATTTATATTTGAAGCATAGTAAAGCTTACATTGTAAAGCACATAATGTAGCAGTGGATATCTCTATAATTAATAAATTTCCAAGTACAGTGAATTCTTTTTAACTGTAACAACTTTAGTGTCTTCAATATGTAAAATGATCATCATCAAAACTTATGTATGTGGTAGTAAAAAGCAGGTCTTTGTTTTTAAAAATTTATTTATTTAATTTTAGAAGGTCACATTTTCAAAGGGAAGGAGAGACAGAAAGATCTTCCATCTGCTGGTTCACTCCTCGAAATGACGCAATAGCCAGAGCTGAGCCAATCTGAAGCCAGGAGCCAGGAGCTTCTTCTGGGTCTCCCACATGGTTGCAGGCTCCCAACGCTTAAGGCCATTCCCTGTTGCCTTCTCAGGCCCCAGGCAAAGCAGGATGGGAAGTGGAGCAGGTGGGAAAGGGACCAGAGCCCATATGGGATTCCGGCACATGCAAGACAAGGATTTAGCCACTAGGCTACCATGCAAGGCCTAATAAAAAGCAATTTTTAAAAGCAAAGCTGTTTCCTAACTGTCTCTTACATTTTGAAAAATCTTGATGCTAAAAAGTCATAAGAATTTGTGATGAAATAAAGTAAATATAGGGTAATTAGCTAACAGCACTCAATATTTATAACTTCACTTGTTTGTTCATGGAACAATGATACTAAAATATAAGTCTAATTTGGTGCAAAAAGCCCTCTGAAATTGTGCAGCAGGCAACATGGAGTTTTGAGATTGATGAACCCTGCCATACTCCCTAGAAATCAATATTTTTAACTAGAAAGGTATGCCATGATCTTGGATTTTAATTGTAGTTTAGCCACAGCTATTATGTCTGATTTAGAAACCGCCCCTTAAAATGAAACAAATTCAGGAGTGGAAGGGGTTTCAGAGCTCTTTTTGTCTAATTGTTACTCTGTGGGAAACTGAAATCCAAGAGGTGAAGAAATTAAGGTAGGATCACACCATGAGTTTTAGAGTGTTGCCAGTCAGCAGCCCAGTTCTCCTGACCCCAATCTATTGTCTCTAGTACAAAATAATCCTAGTTGTATTAGAGACCAGAGTCTGTTTTTCCCTCTTAGGTAATTCAGGTGAAGCAGTTGCAGGTCCTTTTGTGCCCTGCTCTCCCCTTTGGCAGCCCTTGCTAGCATCTATGGAAGGAAAGGGAACTTCTCTTTAAAGTCCTCCCATGTGGCTTAAAAGTTGATTCATGTGCACATATGGCCTCATAATCAGATGTGTTGATTCGTGCAAGCCTATGCATGGATGCACTACCCCTTCCACATGCACAACTATCTCCTGTCATGAAGATGGGATTAGTATGTTTCTTATTGAATGAAGACAGAGATCAGTAACTTAGTAACCGTTGTACCCTGCACGCTTTAGGGAAGCAAATTCTGTAAGCAAAGCCTGAAAACAGAAGGGAAAGTAATGAGAGACAGTTTCATAGGTGCATATCTGTTACACAGGGGCTTGGGGAACTTTCACTGTATTGTGTAGCTGGTGTGGTGCTTTGATATGGTTTTCTTTAGTTCTAGCTCATAGTTCAAAATCAGATTAGGTAATGCCTAGTGTCAAAGATACTTAAAAATATCTAAGGATCACATGAGATGTCTGAATAGTATCAAATACCTGAGAACTAGTGTAAGTTTCATTTAAAGCACAGTGTCACCTGGATTAACAACTTGCTTAGGAACATGTGGTGAATTCTAACATTCCTGAACATAGACTAGTTGATTAACAGGCTTCATTTCTCAGAGGGATGAGGGACTTAATATAGAAAAGGGAACTTCTGAATTACTGTGATGGGGGGTTATTCAGATATGTAGAGTAGTTGACTCTGCTTGAAAATATATCTTTGGCATGTTTTCCATATCCAGTTTATCTTGTGATACATTATATTGTGTTGTGGCTTTAACATAACATGTCACAGTATGTTTAATTAATTTTGATGGTGAGCTGCAGTATGTTTGAACTACAAGGAGAATTCAAAAAGTTTTTGAGAAATGGAATTATAAGATGTATTTGTTTAGGTACAAACATTTTTGAAATGCATAGTGCTTTCATATTGTACATTTTTCCATGAACTTCTTATAAACCTCTTGTACTGCCTCCACATACTAGAGATCCCTGTAAGATTACCTTCTCACCACCTACACATTGTGGGGAGAGACAGGTGCTGCCCCCTCCTGGCCCTTCTGTGGCTTAAGGCAGAGTGCAGCCTGACTGCATGAGCTGTGGTGCAGATTGTGACCCTGAGAAGGGTCATGTTTCTTTGGATGAGTGATCTCCTCAACTGGCTGCCCAGGTGCAGACATAGGTGGTTTCACAGGTCATATTTTGGTGACCCTGCCTCCACTAGAAGGAATATTCCAGATCACAGTTGACCCTTGGACTCACAGTGGTTTGGGTGGACTCTCTTCATCTCAGTTCCTTAGCTCAAGGCGATTGCTCTTCATCTCTGCAGGTGGGACTAGTTTGCAGAGAAGTCTGATAGGCATCCTGGGTAGTTTCTGTTTTTTCCTGCTCCTGGTGATAGATAGAATGGTAGCCCATCTCCAAAACATTTCTTTGTGCCTATGGCAGCCTCATAGTCTGCCAGTGTGGGAAGTCCCATCAATATGGCTATTGTTTTCTGACATGCTTATTACCAGTGAAAGCTCCAGCTGCTCTTAACTAAACTTCCTTTGTCCACTCCCATCCTGACCCTTCCATTTAGAATGGGTTTGGAAGCCCTGGTGGAGTCATATGCATTCTGGCGGCCTTCATTACGGACTCTTACCTTTGAAGATATCCCTGGAATTCCCAAGCAAGGTAATTCACAGCCTCCTGGGTGTACATGGAGCTCATTTCTGTCTAAATGCCAGGCACTAGCAATTGTACATATTGTCATTTACCTGTAATGGTGGCCTCATCATCTTTCCACTATGTAATCCATCTGTTTTCTGTATGGAATGGAGATGGCCTGGGAATAATAATGGTCATGGTTAAAGCTTAAATCTTTGATGTTTTAGGCTGTTTATATGAGGTACTTCAAAGAGTTTATGGAAAATGAAATTAAAATAGGTGCAATATTTTTGAAATCCATGCATATAAGGAATTTTCAGAGTTGATGAGGAATAAATATTATACAAAAAGCATGCATGGATTTCATTTTTTTTGCATACCAAAATAAACTTACCTTTCAATCCAATTGCTGTTAACTTTTGAAAATCAAGACCTTTACCTTATTTTTGTAAATGATGCCATTGTACATGTTAAAGATTTGCTTTATTTATTTATTTATTTATTTGAAAGGCAGAGTTAGCACAGAGAGAAGATGAAACAGAGAGAGATCTTCATGTGACTGGTGCTGAACCAGGCTTAAGTCAGGAACCTGAAGTTCCATTCAGATCTCCTACATGAGAGGCAGGCATGCAAATACTTGGTCTTTTGTCTGCTGCTTCTCTTGGTGCATTATGAGGTAGCTTGGCTTAGTGTTTGTATGGGATGCCAGTGTCACAGGCAGTTGTTTTACCAACTTTGCCACAACAGTGGCCCCAAGACCTTTATCTAATTCTTAAATTTCATATTCAAATTGGAGATTGCGTGGTGGGCTGTGAAGACAAGTATGCTTCACAAGAAATTGGTGATGGTAGTCTTAGTCTTCCTTCCCAGCTTGTTTCATCCCTTCTTCATCAAATTGTCTTTAGGCAGAATGCTTTCATTGGTTTTAACATGAGAAGGTTAGGCACTCTTGATTAAATCTTTTAGGGTTAATTTTCTCTCAGGGACAAGTTATGCAGAAAGAGGTAGCATCTTCTCTCTGGTCTGCATGATAAGTAGTATCCCCAGTTCATGTTTGCAGTTAGACTTTTTACCAGGATCCTTTCAACTTCCAGGGAGAATTTCACATGCTAGGCTTCAGATAATTATCACTGGTTAGATTTGGCTCATAGATTATTTTGAGAAGCTATATAAAACAGTGTTGCTACACCAGTGAAGGTTTTACAGCCGATCCACCTCTTTGGAATTCTCTTCTCCCCTAAGTTCTGTCAGGTTTGCAAACATCAATCTGCCAGCTAATCCAGAGTGGGGAGTCAGCCACCATCAGTGTTATTGATTGGATGCAAGGTCAGCTACCTTCTCAAAAGTTTCACAGGTCTGTTTATTTGCTGGACCTCTGTTCTTGTGTTAGGTTGTGATTCACCAACCTGTTTTCTGTTATATTTTTGAAATGCTAAGCTGTTGCTCTTATGCATCGGCAAACTGTGTGTGATAGTTGTATTGCTATACACTAACTTTTAGCTAGGAGCCATGGATATATTTGAGGCTGTGCAAACCTTGTAGCATTTGGCTCTTTTAGATACTTCCCTTTTGTACTTTTTAAAAAAGATTTATTTATTTAGTTTTTAGTTGAAAGCCACATTTTACAGAGAAAAGGAGAGACAGAATGAGATCTTATATCCACCAGTTTGCTCCCCCAAAATGCTGCAACAGCTGGCACTGAGCCAATTCAAAGCCAGAAGTCAGGAGTTTCTTCTTGATTTCCTGTATGGGTGCAGTGGCCTAAGAATTTGACCCATCCTCTACTGCTTTCTCAGGCAACAAGCAGGAAGCTGGAGTGGAAGTGGAACAGCTAGGACAGGAACCAGTACCCATACGAGATGCTGCCAATTGCAGGCAGAAGATTAGTGTACCGCATCACTGTACTGGCCCCCCAGAAACCTCCTTTTCCTTGCAAGAAAATATTTTTATCCAGAGTTTGCTGAAAGAAAGGGTAAAGGATGAATGGAAGAGGTAGTTAGACTTTGGGAATAAGATACAGAGGGAGATAAAACATATTGTTTAAAGTTGCTGGTCTATTCAGAATTTGTGAAGTTCATTACATTAAATAAGATAATTTAAAGAAATCTAATTAAGGGAGAAAATATAAAAATCCTGTGTAGTGTCCTATCATTTAACAAAAATATACAGAGATAATTTATCCTAAAAATACTGAGAGGACCTTTGTTTAAATTATTTCCGTCTGAATTCAATTAAATTACAAATTTCCTAAAAACCAATACCATTTTCTTTTCATCTTTGTAAACCTCACTCTAGCCCCCACTTTGTAACAAGCTATGTCTCATCATATTGTCAACATTAAAAGGAAAACATGGCCGTGGAGTCGTTCTTTACATTTCAACTTCTTTTCTAGGCAATGCAAGTTCTTCCAACCTACTCCAAAGTTCTGGGAATGGCGTCCCTGCCACCCACCCTCACCTTTTGTCTGGTTCTTCTTGCTCCTCTCCTGCCTTCCATCTGGGGCCCAACTCCAGCCAACTCTGTAGCCTGGCTCCGGCTGACTATTCCACCTGTGCCCGTTCAGGCCTTGCCCTCAACCGATACAGCACGTCCTTGGCGGAGACTTACAACAGACTCACCAACCAGTCCGGCGAGACTTTTGCCCCACCCAGGACTCCTTCCTATGTGGGCGTCAGCAGCAGCACCTCTGTGAACATGTCCATGAGTGGCACTGATGGGGACACCTTCAGCTGCCCACAGACAAGCCTGTCCATGCAGATTTCTGGAATGACCCCTCAGCTCCAGTATATCATGCCTTCACCCTCCAGCAATGCCTTTGCTGCCAACCAGACCCATCAGGGTTCTTACAACACTTTCAGATTACACAGTCCTTGTGCTTTGTATGGATATAACTTCTCCACATCCCCTAAACTGGCTGCCAGTCCTGAGAAAATTGTTTCTTCTCAAGGAAGTTTCTTGGGATCCTCACCGAGTGGAACCATGACTGATCGGCAGATGTTGCCCCCTGTGGAAGGAGTGCACCTGCTTAGCAGTGGGGGTCAGCAGAGTTTCTTTGACTCTAGGACCCTAGGAAGTTTAACTCTGTCATCATCTCAAGTGTCTGCACATATGGTCTGATGAAGCCTCCACGTTGAACTACATTTGGATCTGTCAGACATCGTTTTTTTCTCTATTCTTTTTAAAAGCAATGTGGAAAGAAACTATCCATAGCTTCTAAAATGTGCATATAAAAGAGAAGGGGCTTACTGAGGCTTTTTACTTTCTCATGGCAAGACCGTATGTATGTAGACTGTATATACAAGGCATGTTGAATACTGCAGTTTCTGTTATTTCTCTTTGTTCATCCTCATTCATCCAATGGCACGTAGTGTTGACACACATGTCATATTTTTAGCCCAAATTCTCAGACTCTTATAAAAATAAAATGGCAAACTTAAAACTTGGCATGATACTAACCAAAGACTTATAGCTTAATTTGTTAGAAAAATGTTCTAAACAGTTCCATACTTGAGTGTTGATAACCAGGAGTAACCACCGTATAAATTTTTGTGATTTCTGTTTTTCTTGGACACAGTTTGAAAAAATCAAAAGTACAAAATCCATTTGAAGTCTTTATTTTAGTTCTGAAATATTTGTAATAATGAAGGATTAGCTTTGGATTGTTGCTGGTTTTTATTTACTACTCATATTATTTGACGTTAGGTCTATAATAATTGATGTTTTCTTAAGGAAGGTGGAGGAGAAGCTTCTTTATTTTTTTTTTTCACTTTCCATTGGGCACATGAGTTGTACTTACTCAGCCACAGAAATGAATTTCCAGTAATTTGATTTTTTTTGCTAGTTTATTTACTTTATCCACTAGACTATTAAAGAATGTTCTACAAACATTTTTGAAATCCAGTTTTCATCAGGGAAGGAATGTGTGATATGAATGACATGGTGAAAAGAAGAATAAATGCATCTCAAAATCTGTGATTCCAGTGAGAAATATCTGTCTTTTTAAGTCCAGAAGACTAATATTGCTAGCTGTCTCTTGGATTTCTGTGAAGTTTGGCTTTTAATTTAAGATACTAGCTTTGAGATTCCCAACCCATGCTCTGTATGTAAGGAGATGGCATTTATGTTACCTACATCTTCTAACTCCTGCAGAGTGAAATCTCCTTCCTGAACCTTGTCTCTTGTCTAGGTCTTTCCCTAAGCAGATAGGTTTAGAGCCTTTATGGTGTTAAATAACCCAGTAAGGAATTTAAGGGGGTTATCCTCAGCAATCTGTCTTTTGGGGGTTGTAGTGCAAAGGCCAAAACCCATTACAATAAAGGTCCTCTTGGAGGACTAAGGAGGAAGATACTGATTATGATAAAGGAACTATAAAACTTTTAACCTCTGTAGCATTCTAACCTGGGAACCACAGAAATGAAAAACAGCTTTATTTAAAAAAAAAAAAAAAACCTAAAATAATGTGACCATGATTTAGGAGTTCAAAACAAGTAGCTTTGATAGAATATTGCAAGTTAGCTAGAAAAGGCTAAGAGAGGGTGATGAGGTGCATTCCCCTTCTGCTGAGAAACCAAAGTGATGTGTTTGCCCCTCACCTAAGTAACTTTCAAGAAGAAAAAGGACTGTGTGTGATTTCCTTTTATTGCTAATCAGGATTGTTTCTAGTTTAAATGGTGTAGCTCCTGATTTTCCTCTTCACTTTTAACTAGTGTCAGTGTGAAATATTTAGGGGAATATGATGTTTGAACAGAATTTGCACAAGATGTGACTCTAAGGATGTTGATAAATTTCCTTCTGGGTTGTGTAGCAGTTCGTCAAACTAGTACTGATTTTTAAATTTGAAAATGTTATGAAGGGACATAAAATATCTGCAGTAGGTATATCATTGTAAGATGTTTTTATATATTAATATTTTTGCAAAGATTTGGGAAAAGATTTTGAAAGTATGTTCATCCCAACACTAGTGCTTGATATATTCTAAGGAATAAAAAATTCTTTCCTTCTGGAGGAAACGTGGAAAGGAATGTTCTATATCCACATGTATTAATAAAAAGAGCATCTTTGTTTTTGTTGTTGATAGCTTGAGATAACACCACCATATTAGTAGATTTTCTTATAAATATTTTGTGGATGAAATAGCAATATTGAGTAGATGATGTTCCCATTTTGTTTTACTGTAAATATTAATCACCATATCATTTCAAAGAGTAGTCTTTTATCATATTGAATGATATAGGTACATTGATAATTATAATTATATATCTGTATTAAAATGGTTATGAAACGATATTAAAGTGTGTTATTAAACCCTTTTGTGGATTTTTGGAGGGTAATCATTTTAAGTGTCTATAAATATTGTGTCAGGAATAATCACACTCCAAATGTAAATTAGTTTTAAATTTACAACAACTAATTCACAAGGCAAAAGGACATGGACTTGTTATTCACTTTCCATATGTGAAGTATAATTTCTTGGTGTTGACCATGTCATTCAAGGTGAAGGCCCTGACAAATGTTGAACACATGAAAACTTGAATGTGAAAGGAGGAGGATGGAGTGTGATGTTTTGTTTCACATGCAGGGGAGAAATGCAAAGATGCAAGAATAAGCTGCTGCATCGTTTCCAGTGATGACAGATGACTTCTAGGCCCATTGGCCAGAAAGCATTCCAAGAGACATCAAGATGAGATGAGGTTGCTGCTATCAAGACCAGTCACATTCTGAAAATTAACACTTTCTTCCACACCAGCTTCCTTCCAGAGGTCAACAACTTTTTCACAAGTGGGGCACCCAGTTGCTGACCCCTGATGGCTGGAATGTAGGAGGTCAGGAGCCCTTGGTGGCCATCCAGAGGAGGTTGGGGCACACTGTAGCCTGTATAAAGAAGGACCACACTCATTCTCTACATTAATTAGATTTTAAACAAAAAGGAAATCTTTTAAAATACAAAGAGCTCACCATTGTCCAACTTTACTCAAACCTACCAGTAACTTACAAATTAGAGTAAAGTAAATAAGCAGAGGTTTTCTTGATTGCTGGAGGTTTGACTAAGAAGGAAATAAATGTGTCAGGGCAGTTCTGGGAATGTTTTCATGGAGAAAAAGAAATACAAGAGAAATCTTTAACAATCTGCAGAGTCACATGAAGTTCTGGCACAGCGCCACTGAAACAATCATTTCATGAGCTTTCAGGAGTCACAGAGTAGTTGGTGAACCACTCAGAGATTCTTTATGCTTAGGCAGGTTTGTAAAGGACTTTTTTTTTTTTTGGTAATTTCTAATTTGTTTCTATTTTTATTTTTCAAAACAATTTATTATTTCTTTTTTATTTGAAAGTCAGATATACAGAGAGGAGGAGAGACAGAGAGGAAGATCTGTCTGCTGACTCACACCTCAATTGGCCACAACAGCCAGAACTGCACCTATTCAAAGTCAGGAGCCTCTTCCGGGTATTCCACATGGGTGAAGGCACTCAAGGCCTTGGGCCATCATAAGCTGCTTTCCCAGGCCTCATGCAGGGAGCTGGATGGAAAGTGAGGCCATCAGGGTTAGAACCAACACCCATAAGGAATCCCTGCGCATGCAAGGCAAGGACTTTAGCTAGTGCCTACTGAGCCAGGTCCTTTTGTAATTTTTTATTGGAAAGTCAGTTTTACAGAGAGAAGGAGAGACCGAGAGGAAGATTTTCCATCAGTTGATTCACTCCCCAAGTGACCACAATGGCTGGATCTTAGCCAATCTGAAGCCAAGACCCATGAGCTTCTTCCGGGTCTTCTAACATGGGCACAGGATCCCAAGGCTCTGGGCCATCCTCAGCTGCTTTCCCATGCCTCAAGCAGGGAGCTGGATGGGAAGTTGTGCCTCTGGGATACAAATTGGTACCAATATGGTATTTCAGTGCATTCAAGGTGAGGACTTTAGCCACCAGGCTACCTTGTGTGGCCTAGGACATGAAATGAATAAATAAATAAATAAATACATTTATTTATTCATTTTAGTATTTAGCAGTTTATTGTGTTAAAGCATAATTTTTACTGAACTTGGCAGATTTTAGGATAGTCTAAACTGGCTTACACCTTTAGCCAGGCATGTGACACCAGTTGAGGCATAGAACACTTTTGGGAAGGGTGTGCAAAGAAATCCTCCATACCCTAGTTAGGAGTTGTTTATTTTCATGTCCTACCAAGTAAGGTATGTGTGAGTCCCTACTGATCGTTTTCTGTATAATTCTAAGTTTTTCTTGTTGTTTTCTGTCCATTTTAATTTTTTTTTGTTGTTTGTTTCGTTTTGTTTTGGGGGGGCTCCAGGGCGACCCTGATGGTCACCACAAAGGAGGGTGGGGATCCAGTACTGGAACTAAGCAAGGACCAGAGAAAGCTCCTCTCCCTGGTGTCGGAGGGAGTTTATTGTTCTTCTGTTTCTGTAGACCACTCAGGGCTCCTGGCTGTTGTTCGGGTGACACTGTGCTCTACGATGAGGGATTTGGATTTCTTACATCCCATGTGGGAGATTCAAGTGGGAGCGGATGACCTCAGAGTACTTAGCCTCCGAAGGCATTCCAATTCCCTGTGGTCTCCTTGGCAATTGAGATGTAGTCCTTGGTGCCCATACTGGTAGTCCTTGGCGAGGATCCTGGAGTCTCCAGGGTGGGAACACAAGTCTGCTCTTGTCCACCTGCTCCACCCTGGAATCCTCCCTGCTCTGTGCATATGACCTCCTGTTAAGAGGTTGTCAGGGTCGCTCCTGATACCCCCTATGTCTTTGTGGTTTTACTGTTGTCCAATGCTGATTCGAGTCCGTTGTCTATAAGCTACCTGTTATGTTCCTGATAGGCTATGCTTTACATCTGCCTCACACATTCTAGGGAGATGGAAGATTTCTCTGCTCTCCCTCCCCATTACCGAGAAGCATAGGGCAGGACCTGAATTTTAAAGTGTATGTGGGGTGGGGTTCCTCAGGAGAGTTTATTGAATCACATCAATGAAGGTTTTCCTTTCTGTTGGGATTTAAATATTTTTGAAGTTTAAATTTTGCTTATATATTTAAAAGAGTCTCAAAGAAAGGGGACGGGGAGAAAGGAAGAGAGAGAATCTTATATCTGCTGTTTTACTCCCCAAATTG